TCCACCTATGTTGTTGCAAATGGCAAGATTTCATCTTTTTTTATGGCTGAGTAGTATTCCACTGTGTATATATACATCTTCTTTATCCATTCATCCATTGATGGCCACTTAGGTTGTTTCCAAGTCTCGGCTATTGTGAATAATGCTGCAATGAACATAGGGGTGGATAAATATTTTTGAATTAATGTTTTTGTTCTTAGGATAAATAACCAGAATTGGGATAGCTGGATCATATGGTAGGTTTTTTTTTTTTTTTTTTTGAGGAAGATTAGCCCTGAGATAACTATTGCCAATCCTCCTCTTTTTGCTGAGGAAGACTGGCCCTGAGCTAACATCCATGCCCATCTTCCTCTACTTTATATGTGGGACGCCTACCACAGCATGGCTTTTGCCAAGCGGTGCCATGTCTGCACCCAGGATCCAAACCAGTGAACCCTGGGCTGCTGAGAAGCAGAACGTGCAAACTTAATCACTATGCTACCGGGTCAGCCCCAGGTTTTTTTTTTTTTTTTTTTTGAGTAATCTTCATAATATTTTCCATAGTGGTTGCACAAGTTTACATTCCCATCAGCAATGTCTTAGGGTTCCCTTTTCTCCACATGCTCTCCAACACTTGTCTTTTTAATGATAACCATTCTGACAGGCATGAGGCAATATTTCATCGTGGTTTTAATTGAGGTGTTTGTCTTTTTTTTATTGAGTTATATGAGTTTATGTATTTGGGATATTAACCATTTATCGAATATATGATTTCTAAATTCTTGTCCCAATCAGTAGTTTGCCTTTTCATTTTGTTGATAGTTTCCTTTTCTGTGCAAAAGCTTTTTAGTCTGATGTAGTCCCATTTGTTTACATTTTATTCTGTTTCCCTTGCCTGGGCAGACATGATATTCGAAAAGATACTGCTAAAACTGATGTTAGAAAGTGTACTGCCTATATTTTCTACTTAGAGTTTTATGGTTTTGGGTCTTACATTCAAGTCTTTAATGAGATTTTAATTCGTAGCTCAGAGCAGTTGACCCCTGGTAATACTGCAGTCATCCAGAGCCCAGGGGAAGCTGAGAGGGAAAGTAAGGGTTTGAGAATTAGGAGGCCAAACGTAGGTAATCAACAGTCAACTTATGTGTACAAAAATGAACTCCTTCATGAAAACATCGCAAATATAACCCCAAATCTGCTATACTCAAATTTCAAGCCTCACTGTTAGATTTTGTAAAACTGTTTCCCTCCCAGACTGGGAAACCTCCTGATAAAGTGCCTCCTTTTTCCTTCTCCCAGCATCTTCTTTAATTCACCTTCCTGCCAGTCATAATTCTGCTTCTGATTGTGTTTAGATTTATTGTAGAGCAGCTGCTTTCATTTCTGTATTATTTTTTACTTAAGCAAAATTTCATATGGTGATGCTAGAATGTGTCCCCACGGTGGTCTAGGGCTCAGGAATCAGCAGTTTTTTTTAAAACTCCCCAATTTATTCTAACGTGCAGTCAGGCTGAGAATCACTTTCCAAGAACATTGTAAGGAGGCTGCTCCTCAATTTGGCCTCCAGGGGGCAACCCTGCCCATTAACATGACCAAGAATAAGGAGATCATACTGACTCTCCGGGGACTGGGGAGAGGCCTGAATTTAGGATTGAAAAGGATAAGGCTGAGAATTAGAGACTGAGTAATATTGAGGTCACTGAAGGCAGATTTTCTTTAAAATCCTCCTGAACTTTGGGAAATTCTGTGGCCAACTGTTTCCTTCTCCTACAAGTGCAATTTTCCCAACTTCTGTCTTATACCCAACCCCAGGCTTTTAAGGTTCTTCATTCTGAGAACCTCCACATTCTATTATCATTTCTTTGCATAGAAGTCCCTTTATAACAAGTTCACCCTTTATAACAAACTCCTCTCAGAAGAATGACTTGGCCAGAAGAAGTTGTTTCCTTTTTCTGAACAGTTCACCCTAACTTTACATATACCCATTGGTACTCATGTCATCCTTGTCTCTTCTAGAATGATAATTTCAGCATCCAAGAGCTCAAGGTCTTCTGAAATATTTCTCAGAAAACAACTTAGATAAAAGTCACAGAAGTTTTGTGCTTTATATGTAAAGGTATATCAGGGTAACAGTGAGCTCTGGGGTTGGGAGGGCCCAGGTACATGGTTAGTTCAAGGAGCTCAGACAATGTCATGATAAAAATTCAGCCGCCCACCCATCTGTTTAAGAATCAGTAGTGGACTCTGAGACAGTTATCTTTTATAAACAAACCTGTTGAATAGCCTCTAAAAATAAACTGTTAGTGCTAAGAAATTAGAAAAAAAATTATGCCAACTTAAAAAATGTCAATGAATGTGAACAGATAATTTCCAAATTAAGAAATAAAAATAACAATAAAAATAGGCAAAAGCATGCCACCTCAGTGATAAACAAATACACATTACAATTACAAGGAAACATTTTTTTTCTCTACAAATTGTTAAATAATTTATCAGCATTAGATTCTCTGGTGCATCTGAAGATGTCATGAAACAAAAACTCTTAGAGTAATGCTGTAGAAATATCAATTTGTATGATCATTCTAGAGATTAATTTGTTAATATATATAACATTATTTCACTCAACAATTCTACATCTAGAAATTTACCCTAAAGAAATAATCAGGAAAATTGACCGCAAATTGACCAAAGTAAGTCTCAACAAATATTAAAGAATAAATATCATACAGATCATGTTCCTTTACTACAAAGAACAAAGTTAGATACTATTAATAAAAACCGAACTTCAAATACAAAGAAATACACTCTCAAACAATTCATCAACCATAGATAATGGTTAGCTATTGTTGGGTTAGATAACCCAACAATAATGAAAGGTCGACATTTTATCACTTGTGAGGTGAACCTAATGCAATAGACAGATAAAATTTTATAGCCTTAAAAATATAGTAAACATAATGATTCGATCTTTGTGCATACTGTGAAATGATGACCACAATAAGTCTAGTCAATATCTGACACCATACAATTACAAAATATTTTCCATTTTTGGTTGAGAAAGATTATCCCTTAGCTAACATTTCCTGCCAATACTCCCCTTTTTCGCTGAAGAAGATTGGCCCTGAGCTAAGATCCGTGCCCATCTTCCCCTATTTTATATGTGGGTCACCTGCCACAGCATGGCTTCATAAGCAGTGCATAGGTCCACACACAGGATCCAAGCCAGCTAACCCTGGGCCACTGAAGCAGAATGTGTAAACTTAACCACTGAGCCACTGGGCTGGCCCCACAAAATTTTTTTCTTGCTTTGAGTGCCGGGGTCCCGCCCCGGCTGAGTCCAGGTTCCTGAGGGATGGACGGCGTCGGTGCAATGAGGGGAAAATAAAGGGGACGTGAGACTTGGGTTGGTGTTAGCAAGTCCCACTTTACTGTGCACAAGTGTCGTTTATATATTTTTCAGGATTAGTACAGAAATAGTTCTACAAATATTCAGAGAGATAAGGAAGTAAAAAACAAGCACAAGAATATTTATTAGCATTCTATTCTATAGAGCATAAGGTTAATGGTAGTCCTCTCCGCAATTAACTAGTGTTTGTTGTCTCTAAGCAAAAAGAGATAGGTACCTAGGCATCTGTTGTAATTCATGGTAAAGTTAAATCAAAGAGAGAAGGTCCAGGCCTCTGGACAGGACAGCAGTCCGTCTGGTTGCATCCTGGTGGAGCCATCCCTGCCTCCCTCAATCATTTAGGCCATTAGTGTAGACGGTTAATGGGAACAAAAGGCGACTCCAGGGTGTCTTATCCCCAGAGCTATCTGCATTCTCAGCGGGCAGTTAAACATCTTTACTTTTTCGCGCCCTTTAGGGGGTGGAAGCATTCCTTTGTCTTTTAGATTGCAGAGCTAACAGTCCCTTAAGTACACTGCCGGAGAAAGTATCACTTTGTTAGTAAAGTAAAGGGCTGAAAAGCTAAGCTAAACTATATATCTTCAAGAATGAAAAACAGAAATAAGTATAGACATAACCTTGCTAGAAAGCATGCATATAATTCGGAAAATATCAGGGGTGTCGGCCAGCCATTCTTCACGGAGGGGCATCCCTGCACCCCTCGGCCCTTCTACTCATCAATTATTTACTATTTATCGCTTTTAGGAGAAAACCTCTATAACATTTTAACAGAAAGCAGAAGGTCAAGAATAATATATAGATACTTCTTGATCATCCAATTAACCAGCAAACTTAGAAGGACGATGCATATATATATTTAGACAAAGAACTGGAGGGAGAAGGAAACATTAACCAGATGGAGGCCATAAACCTAATTCGACATCTTATCTGGGCAGGATTCCTTTCTGCTTGTCTCAAATGGGACTGTGTGCTCCTCCAATAATTAACTGAAAAATATCTTGAAAGTTACCTGCAGGTGGTCACATTCTCTTACTATATCTAATTTTCCCGGGAGGTAGTGCCTCCCAAGCAGCCACCCAAAGGAGTGAAAGCTGGAGGTTAAGAAAGGAAAAGGAATGAATGTCCATTCAATGTCCATTGAATCTTGTTTAAAATAGTCAAAATAGGAAACAAAATAATGTCAAACGATGGTTAAGCAAGTTAAGGTACATTTACACAACAGAGTAGTTATGAAGCTATAAAAATTACATTTTCACTTACGATTGAATGATATGATGGTATACATAACATTAAACAAAAAAACGATTTCCAACATAATCCCAATTCCTTTTAAGTATGGATATTTATATTAAAAATACTGAAACACAACAAATCACTCACAGTATTCATCTCTTGGTTTTGATACAGTTGGATTTTTATTATCTCCTTCCTACTTTTTGGTTATGTCTACATTGAGCAAGTTTTCTTTCATAATTAAAAAATATACTATGTGTTATATATTTATTCAAGAAAAATAATAGACCTGGAGGAAAAGAGGCAGGAGTGCAAACGCAGACAGCAGGAGACATGACTAAGCTTGCATATGCAGAAACCCCACTCTGTTGCTCTGCAACAGCAAGGCCACAGAGCCACCCAGCTCTAGTGACATTACAAAAGCCTGTCAGGTGGCAGGCAGTACAAGAGCCATTTCACCAGTGGGAAGAGCCCCAAGGATGCAGCCTGGACCACTTGCTCTCTTGTGCACAGTCTTGGCCTTCGTCTGCTTTGGTAGGGAGCCTGCCAACCCTCCAGCCAGGGCGTGGGGAAGGAGGGTTGGGAAAGATTTGGAATAGAATTAGACCATGCTTTTGTCTGCTTTTATTTCTGAGTCAAAACCTATCTATTTGTGATGGCTTTCTTGTAAGCAATGTCATCAGATAAGTCAATTTTTTCTTCTTTTCTACAGATTCCAGCAATACCCAGAGTGTTGATCAACCTAAAAAAGAAGAGCATAAAAGAGAAGGAGAATCTGTGACCTTGGACTGCAGAATCACAGTCAGTTATGCTTACTATGTGATGTACTGGTATCGACAGGCTTCCAGTGGAGAGATGCCTCACATCATCTATCTACTTTCTGACAGTAGAAACTCAAGGCGAGGACGCTATTCTGTGGTGTTTCAGAGACCAAACCTAAAGCTCACCATCTCAGCCTTGACGCTTACAGACTCAGCCGTCTATTTCTGTGCTGTTGCACAAGATCCCACAGTGAGGCTAGTGATGGGAAGAGCCTTACAAAAACCCCCAGGGCTCAGCAGGAGCCAGCCAGCTACTCTAGGAGCATAGAACAACCCACAGGACAGGAAGAGGGTAGACAGAAGGCATGGTGAGTGGTATTGGTGGGTCTGGAGAGGAAGTTAATGAATGTTCTAGCAACAATCTTCCCACATTTGGTACCAAAGAAAGAGTTGTGGTTACAAGATCCCAACCTCCAGAGCATTTTCATCTCTGCATCTGGTGCCCAAGGATGATAGCATAGCTGATCGAGGCGTACATCTGTCTTTTCTGCCTGCACAGCATCCATCCCCTGTTTTTTGGTGACGATGCCTTGATTTTCTCTTGATGACCAAGCCTCCCCTTCTCCTACTAATGTTTGGGTTTGGATGAGGCTGATTCCTCCTTTAGACCCCTGGTCAGTTAACATAGTTCATCTCTCTGATGTCAATCATTGGTTCAAGAATGGGTACATGACCCAAGCCCACATTGCAAAACTTCATATGGAACTATTTGCAATACTGTTGGGGATGTAAGAGGCTAGGATGTAAACCTAGAGCTGCAGGCAGCCCTTTTCCCACCACAGGGAGGAGCATGATCCCAAAAAGAGAGAGCGAAACTGAGTTCCCTTAACATTGTTTGAGTCCCTGGCCCCTGACGTGATTAGAGGAGCTCTACCTGGGAATTTTCAGTTGTACTTTCCAGCTGCCTTAGCTTGGGTCCCTCCAGAAGCAGACAGGGATTCAGGTGCAAGTGGTTTAGTTGGGAAGTGATCCCAGAATGCGTGGCAGGGGCACAGGAGAGTGACAGGAAGGGAAGTCAGCCAAAAAGAGTGTTATCAAGCCAGCTGCCACTGTGGGCACCTGGAGCTTAATCCTGCCAGGGAATCTCTGGGAATCAGTGTAAACACTTGCCTCAAGTTATCCCACCTGAGGGCCAGAGGAGCCAAGGTATTGATAGCCCAAATCCTGTACATCACTGGGACACCAACAATGCAACACAATTAATTTCTTTTTTGTCGTAAGCTATTTCGAGTTGGGTTTTCTATCACTTGCAATCAAAAGTGGGCTTACTAAAAATTCTAATAAAAATAACATTAGGTAAAATGAACTAACCAAACAAAATGCTTTAAAATTACTCTTTTAAATTTTTGGCTTATTGCAGTTCAGAAAGGGCATAACTCCTCAGACTGTTCAGATTAGAGAAGTTCAGCTCTTTTTTCCCACATCACCCAGTGTGATAAGGAGGAGGGACAAATTTAACACTTGTACCTGTGTTACTACAGTGGGCATTTAGCTGTTCTCTCCCCTTTCATACTCTTCCTGGTCAGGTTCACCTCGCTTAATGCTGCCAGATTAGTCGCCCTAAAGTGTCCCTCCAAAATATCTTGCCTGCTCAAACTCAGGATTCCCTGTGAGACTGTGCTTTTTCTACTTCCAAAATTCTACTCCTGCTATCTGCTTCTCTTGCAATGTGTTTCCTCCTCATTTCTACCCTTGTAAGCTCACCGTCTTTCAAAACTGATTTCCTATCTTTCTCTCCCTTGATGCTTTTGGAGGTACTCCGGGAGCAATAAGCATGCCTAAATCCCGTACCTTGGTTTCCCATTCCATTTTCCAACCAGAACTCCTTGGAGAAATGGCTGATTCCAGTGCTGGGGCAGGGAATCTGCAAGATAAGCCTGGAGAAACCTATAGAGTTCAAAAAAAAAAAAAAAAAAAAAAGATGGAACTGTGTCAAAGAGACACGGGAGCCAACTGAAAAAGCTCCCTGTGACCAAAGCTTGAATAATTTGAGCAATAAAATAAAGCAAAGCAGTAGTATTGAGTAATAACCCAAAGTATAAAATAAATATCCATGAGTCACTGATATAAATAAATTATTGAATAAGAAAATGAGAGAGAATAGACAAATCTTCCATACTGAATAATTCTAAATAATATATGTAGACACTCTATGCTCAAGGAACTGGCGCATAAACCCCTACTCCTTAAGCGTGGGCTGCACGTAGTGAATTCCTTCGAAAAAGCACAGTATGAAAGGGTGAAAAAAGAGTAGCCTGACGGTGAAGAAATCTGACAAACATTGCCTCAGCCAGATGACCACAGCCAACATCAAGAGAGCTGTCATGTTGATTGCATGTCCCCTTGATATGATGTGATAAGAAATGGCACCCTACCTCTGTGGTCTTCTTCCCCCAAACCCAAAACTTCAGCATAATCATGAGGATATCCTCAGAGAAACCTCAACTGAGGGACATTCTACCAAATACCTGACTAGTTCTCCTCAAAGCAGTCAAGGTCATCAAAAACAAGAAATGTCTGAGAAATAGTCACAGCCAAGAGGAGCCTAAGGAGATGTGATGACAAAGTGTAATGTGATGGGATCCCTAGGTGGGGTTCTGAAGCAGAAGGATGTTAAGTAACATCTAAGTAAATCTAACAAAATATGAACTTTAGTTAATAACAATGTATCGGTATTGATTTATCAAATGTTCCAAATGTGGCATTGTAAGATGCTAATAAGAAGGGAAATGGGTGTGCGGTGTATGGAAACTATGTGTATATGTACTATCTTCACAACTTGTCTGTAAATCCCAAACTATTCTAAAATAAAAAGATTATTTTAAAAACGTATAGTGGCAGCCCTTATTCTTTATTTTAATGTGGCTACTAAAACATTTAAAATTATGTGTGTAGCTTACATTGTATTTCTCTTAATGGTGGTGATCTAAAAAGATTGACAGGAAATCTTAACAGTAATTATTCCTGGTAGTGGAATTCAGAGTAATATTTTTAGCTTTGCTTTTTTCCAATGCTTCTTCAATAAATGTGTACTCCTTGTATAATAAAAAAGTAACAAAAATAACATGATACAAGAACTGCTGCTGTGACATGACCACAGTACATAACGAATGCACCAGGGAGAAATGTCAAGCCATAGAGTCTTTTGATTAATTAATTATTCATTCATTCATTCATTCATTTGAATATACATACAAAGTATCCCATCTGCCAGGCACTAGGACAGTTGCTAGGAATACAAGCACAAGAAAGATGAACTAAAATTATTTCCTTCAAGGAGTTCACAGTCTATTTGGGAAGTTAGGCTTGTCAATGAAAATAACACAGTGTGGTCAGTGATACTATGACCATTCCTATAGAGTCAACTCTCCTCTCTTTCCTGCTTTAAATGCTGCTGTTTTTCTGGCCCCAACCTTAGTCTACTATGTTGCTCACAACATGATTGCAGTACTTACATGCTAGTTACTACTCTGCCTCTAACCTTGATTTTGCCCCCGACCTATATATATCCAACTGCCTTTTGGTCAGATGACCCTTGGGTAATCTAAAGTGTACAAGCCTAAAACCCATCATCACTTCATCTCTCCTACTCCAAGCCCATCTACCTCTGTAATTCTTGTCTTAGTTAATGATACTGCCTTGCCACATGGCTCTGCATAAAAGGAAAATTTAATTATTTTACTTCACTTAATATTCTCCAGACTTGGCATGACACAAGCCCACATACGAAGTACCTTAAGCTACCAATCCAACCTCATCTCCTGGCACATCTCTCATCAGCACTGACCTTCTAGAAATACCAAACTACTAAACACAGGAAATATCATAAGTTATCACCCCTCTTTCCTTCCCTTTGATCTTCCCTTTGCTTGGAATTTCCAACCTTGTCACCACCTCCACCTCATGGTTCCCTGACATCTCCTCTCTGCAGCCTTCCTTGATCTTTCAGGCAAATTTAAGGTCGCTCTCCTCTGGCTCCCTTTGAACTTTGCACACACCTCCACAATAGCAATTTTCTCTTTATATTACAATGCCTGCCTCCTTTAGGATACTCTTCCTCAAGGGCAAGGATTAGGTTTTATTCACCTTAATATCCCCAGCATTACATGGAACATGACAAATAGAAGACTCTCCAGTTCACTGAATATTTCTTATCTTTCTTCACCTTTCTCACTCTGTTGTGGTCACACTTACCACCAGAATAGTCTAGATGTTCCTTGAATGTCCCAAGCAAGCTTCCATCCCTGGGTCTTTATAGTTGAATAATCTTGCCCCGGATGCCTCCCTTCATCACATCCTTCAGGTCACTGCTCAAATACCCCCTCAATGAGAAGCATTTCCTTCAATCCTATATAGTTAGTACTCACTCAACTTGTCTCTCTTTCGCCTTATCCTGTCTCATTTTTCTCAAGCTAATTATCACTAGCAGAGATTATATTATATATTTGTTGATGTGGTGTATTTCTTTTTTTTTTAAAAAAGATTTTTATTTTTTCCTTTTTCTCCCCAAAGCCCCCCAGTACATAGTTGTATATTCTTCGTTGTGGGTCCTTCTAGTGTGGCACATGGGACGCTGCCTCAGCGTGGTCTGATGAGCAGTGCCATGTCCGCGCTCAGGATTCGAACCAACGAAACACTGGGCCACCTGCAGCGGAGCGAGCGAACTTAACCGCTCGGCCACAGGGCCAGCCCCAGATGTGGTGTATTTCTTGTCTGTCTTTCCACCAGAATATGAGCATCCAGTAGCCCAGGGCTTTGTCTGAATTATTCAACAAATGAAATAAAGATCTGACATATGTATAAGTAAATAAATGATTTTATCACCTAGATGCAACACTGTCTCTCTGACTTTCATTTCCCCTTCTTCTGCTTTTGTTCTCATCAAGCCACAGATCTGGGATAAAAAAAGGATTAAGACTCAAAACTCCAAGAATTATCAAGTATAACAAGGCTGAGTAAGCAATAATATTATGACTTAAAAAGGAGCAACAGATCAGCTAACTATGTATTAAATCTGTTTCAAGAATCTCTTTTATCTTCTAAGTAATTTATTCAACAAACGTTTATATCACATTTATCATGAGTTCTTTTTGAAAACTTAAAATCTGTCTCTTATTGTATCACTGTTTATAGTTTACAAGTTTATAGTTTCTCACACTTATGTCAATGTATCCTTATAAACCATTCTTTGAAATAAGAAAGTTTCATGAGGAATGATTTTGTTACCAGATTAAGGATCACTAGGTTGTGAAAATTTTGATGTAGGAA